AACAAGGCCCGTGGCCCCAGGCACGGGCTCCTGCAGGCCCGGGACCGAGCCCACGGCGAGTCCGGCGGCCCCACGTCCTGGGGACGGATGGCAGCCGGTGTACGGGCCGCATGGTCTGGACACTAACTCTTACTGAGAGCGGCCCTCTCTGCGGCCCTGGCCGCGGGCGCGCCTTCGCGCTCTTGGCAGTTTCCTTTTCTTTGTTTTTTGCTGTGTGGCGGCACCGGGTTCTAGTCTGTCACCCTGGTGGTGTTCAGACATGGAGGTGAGTGTGGCTTTGGACTGTGGAGCTGCTGAGCTCTGTAGCCGGCTCGCGGTCCTCCAGGCCCTGGGCAGTGCCGGCCGCAGGTCTTCGGGTTGTGCGTGTTGGGAGAGTGGCTGTTGCAGGGTCCCCGTGTCCCGGCTCCTGCGGCTGCTGGCGTCCTCGGTGGCACGAGTGTCTGTGAGGCGGGTGGGCTGCCCTCCTGTCCCACCTGTACGGACAGGGAGCCCGGTGGACTCCCCTGCCCATGGTCAGACCATCGCAGTGATGGAGCTGGGAGCCCCGACACCCTGTGCACCTCCGGTCAGCGCCCTCGGACACGGCGCTGTTGGCAGGCAGTGCTCCAGGCTGTTCAGAGGTCCGAGGATCGTGGTGTGTGGAGTGGCTCCGCTGGCCAGCAGCCCCGACAGCGCGAAGACTTTGCTCAGGCTCCTGCCGCAGCTGACACCCAGGCTGCCTTGTCCCGGGGGTGACATTTCTGTTGAAATCTCTAGTGTCCCTCAGATATGAGGTGCCTGTAACTGTCGGCCTCTTGAGACGTGGTGGCTGGCAGGGAATGTTGTCAGGCCTGGAGTTGGTTCTGTTCCCTTCACTGAGGCTAAGAGGAGGCTGATCTAGAAACTTTAAAAACGTAAGCACCCTCTGCTGACCGAGGGCACGCCCCTCCGGGCCCCCCGCCCTGCAACCGGCTGAAGAGTTAACAGGCATCTGATTAGCACCAGCTCACAGGACTGTCCTTTAGATCCGCTGCGTCCTGCTGGGTGGAGACGCATGCGATGGGCTCCAGATGCCTGCTGTGGACGTCCGTGTGTGATTTGGAAATTAGGTTGGTGGTTTCCATCCACCTGTTGGCCGTGACCTTGGCGTACTGTTTCTGAACAGGTGGGGCTGTCTTCTCCCTCTGTTGATGTTGAAGCCAGGTCTCTGCTGGTTCACACAGAAGCCTCCCCCACCCCCTACTCCCACCACTATCCTGATGACTTGGGTTAAACTGACCCTTCGGTCTTTGCTGGTTTCATCAGCTGTGTGTACACCCTTCTCATGTATCTGCTCTGAGAGGAGCTGTACAGTACTGTCCTTCAGTGGCTTGCTTCTTTTACTTGGTCTTAGATACTTGAAATCCATCCATCGTGAAGAATCTGTTCCTTTTTCAGTGCTCTGTCCTCCCTTGGATGGACCTGGGGCCTTTTGCAGGTTGGGGCTGTCAGCATAATGGTACTTGGAGTGCTGCTGGGTGTGTGGGCCTGTGCACAGAGCGGAAGGATGTGTCTGCCTGGACACAGGTATGCAGGGGGCTTCCGCACAGTCTGGTTGCTGCTCCAGTGATGTTTGGATGAGGTGTGGCAAGTGCAAGACGGAGGAGCCCCCGGGAGCAGAGGGTGCATAGACAGGAATGAGAACAAGCTGCTGGGAGAAGGCGGACGGGGAGTGAATGAATAAGCCCGGTGCTGGCCAGGTGCTTGAGCCGGGATGCAGCAGCTGGCGGGAGTTTGCTGGGCACCTGAGGGGGCGGCCTTCCAGGCAGATAGTGCAGTGGGGTTGATCCCCTTCCTTCTGAGAGGCCCAGGGTGGGCGGGGCCGTGGCCTGGCCTGGCCTCTGCTGTGTTGCCCTCGAAGTGACAGCCCCCAGCCCGCTACTGAGGACCTTGCGGCCCCCTGGTCATCGCGTGGTGAGTGGAAGGACCTTTGGTCTCAGCCAGCTGGCTCCCAATCCCACCTCTGCCCTTTTGCGGTTGTGTGGCCTTGGACTGGTTTCTGTGTTTTTATGTGTAAAATGTGGCAAGTCTCCCTTGCTAGCATTTCTGGGTGTTTGAGGATAAAATGTGTGTGGTCTGTGACCTGTGGGCCATAGATGTTCTAGACACACGAGGAGTATTGTCAGCAAATATTAAAACTGCTTCAGTCCTCACCTGAGGGAGGTTTGTGTGTGCCGTGTTCAGGGTGTGTCTGCAGTTACCAGGTGACTTACCTGGAGGGTTTGAAGTGGTGGCGTAAAGTGACTGGGAAAAGGTGAGTCTGGGCATCACGCGGAGCGAGGTGGGGTGGGCTGAGTGCAGATGAGGGGCTGGCTGGAGGGGAGAGACGTGGGTTCATGTTCTTTGCGAGGGTGGAATCTGGAGGCCACACCGTAGACCGTGGTCCAGTACTGGACTGGCCACTAGCTACACGTGGCTCTGTGTGTTTAAGGTTATTAAAAATGGATGGAGCTAGAAGTTTGGTCCCGCAGTCACACCAATCACATTTTAGGTGCTCGGAGCCGAAGCTGCTTGCTCTGCCGTCCTGTCCCTGGTGGTGGCGGTGCCGCGGCACGTCCCTGTGCTCGGTGGGCGTGGGCAATCGGTGGGTGGGCAGGGGGCACGTCTACCTGGTGAAGAGCCGGCACACGCTGTCCCCGCCACCCGCATCCTGCCTTCAGGGACTCATCGGCTTACGCTTTAGCACGGACTCGTTTACTCAGACAGAAGGGGTGAAGGGACTGGAGGAGGCACGCCCCTAGACTCTCAGTCGTTAGCATCTTGCTGTTTACCTCATGTCTATTCTGAGAAGGCTTTTTGTTCACAATTCACCTACTGTGAAACTGGACCCACTACAGTTTTCTCAGTTCCACTGGAGAAAGAATGGCCCTCCAGGACCCCAACGATCTGCCGGCGTCCCTCCCCTGTCCCAGGAGCAGCCTCCACTCATGCCTGCCCCCGCTTTCCTCTCCCTGGGGCACCCTCCTCAGAGGGGCTCCGGGATCCAGGCAAGCAGCTGCGCAGCAGCCCCGTTGCCCTGATGTTGCCTCCTCGGGATGTTGTCTCGCTGCTGCTTCTCCTGGCTGCCCCGTGTGCGGCTTAAGAGTCAGCACCGGGCACCGCAGAGGGAAGAGCTGAAGTGCCCAGTGCGGCCCCAGTCACCGTGCGGGGGGCGGGCATGCTCGTGTGTGCTGGAGAAAGGACTGACTGAATGTCCCTGACCCCTTGATAGTTCCTCAGGAGGGAAGCATCAGTAACCGTGTGCTCTGGACGCCCCCGCAGGTGGAGCTGGAGGTCACGTTGCCAGGAGAAGGGAAGGACCGCATCTTCAAGGTGTCCATCAAGTGGGTGTCCTGCGTGAGCTTACAGGCCTTACACGATGCACTTTCGGGGCGGCTGCCCAGCGTCCCCTTTGAGACGATCCAGGCCCTGGACGTGGTCATGAGGCACTTGCCGTCCATGAGGTGAGGACCGTCCCTGGGCTGGTCCAGGAGCTTCTGCTTCTGACCCCAGTGCCACCTGAGCACTTGTCTGCTCTGTGTGAGGAAGAGCTGCCTCCTGGGTCGGGTGGTGATGGCCACGAGCATGCATGTGATGGAAGCACTACAGTGTCAGCCTGGGGAGAGCCTGCAATGGAAGAGCAGGTTGCTGGAACTCTCAGCCCAGCACGGCGACGCTGCCGCCCTGTCTCTGGCACAGCTGGGCATCGTCCCTCACTCCGCCCGACTGTGAGCTTGGTCCTGTTTCTCTGTCGCCCTCACACTGGGGACCCATAACAGTAGAATCCTGTTCCAGGTTCTGGGCTGGCCTGGCGTCCAGCACATGGAGAAACCTTTTCAGGACTATGGGCAGCGCCCCCGCCCCTGCCTCACATGTGGGCTTATTCTGCGGGGTTGCTTTCTCTCCATACCTGGGACAGAGTGCATCTGGGCACTCTGATGGCTCATAACTGACCAGCGGGAGACACAGGTCTGCACTGACTCCCCGTGTGGCAGCACGTGCGAGCCACACCCATACCTCTGTTTCCGACCTGGGGCGCCTGTTCCTTCCACGTCTGCGGCACACAGTAGGGCCTCAGGAACAATCTGAATGAGTAAGTGGAAGAAGGGATGCCTCAGACTGAAACAAACCTCCATCCTGAGCACTGCCCGTACCGACCAGAGCTCTCAGGGCTGAGGGGAGAGAGGAAGTGTGAGAGGAGGCGCCTGGAGGGGCTGTGCTCAGTTTCACAGCAGTCCCCCCGGCCCCCAGCATCTAATCTGTCACCACTTGGAGCTGTTGACGGCAGGAAGGTGGGTGGGTGCAAAATAACCCCACTCTAGAAGGGTTGTTGCCAGAACGTCGAATACGGTTTTTGATGAGTGGCAGGAATTACTGTGATTTTTTTTCTCTGAATTCCTTTGAATTAATTACCATGTGACTTTTATAGTCAGGAGGAAAGTCTTTCATTTGGGGAAAATAATAGAGAAAGAGGCAGGATTAACACATTAACACATCTAAGGGAGAGACAAAGAGGGTCGTGTGGTGGCTCAGCCCACAGGTGACAGGGTCTTCCCTTGGAGACCCTCGGAGATGCCGCAGGCACCAACTGCTGCGCTGTGGCAGCAGCTGGCCCCTGGGAGGGCGTGGGTCTGTCCCCCCTTGGCCTCGCTGTCCCACAGCTTGAGGTCTGAGCTCCTGCTCCCTGTGTTTGGAGCCTCTCCGTAGAGTAGCTGAGCGGGCACTTCAGGCTGGTCCAGCCGGCTCTTCCTGGCTGCGGTCGTGTGCACCCCGCCCCCTTCCCAGTCCTAGACAGAGGTGAAGTGCTGCGTGCAGGTCGTGGGCTGTGGGCGGGGCAGTAGGTGGTTGGATCGTGTGGAAAACCGAGACTCAGCGGGTCCCCGTGTGTCCTGTTCTCCACGTGTCCCCGTGAGTCAAGGCCAGGCTGGGCACCCCGCAGAGCCGGCCGTGGACAGGGCGTGGGGCCGGCCATGGCGG